GTTTATTCAAGAAGATGGTGTGACTCGTAATTGGTGGTAGGTGAAGAGTTTCAAAAGGAAAAGAAAGAAAGGGGGCCAGCACTTGCTTTCTGGGGTGGGTGGGTGGGAGGAGCAGGGGACCCTGATAGGTGAGAAGAGAAAGCTGGCAAGGAATGGGTTTAACCTAAACAGCATTTGGAAATCAAACCCCCAAATTAACTACACAGTAATGTTCCAGATAGTCCAGATCTTGGAGGACATTCCTGATTTTTTCCTCCCTCTTTCCAATTCAGCCTGCCGTTATGTGGCTAGGAAAATAGCATCGTTCCTGCGCCCTGAGGATGTGGAAGAGACCATGTTGGCTTGCAAGAACCGGACAACTCTAGCTGGTGAGACACAGATACCTTCTCTCCCAATAGCCAGCTTCAGTTAGTTGTCAGTGTGTCCTTTGGGAAAAGGGTTCAAGAAAAAGAAAGAAAGAAAAAACCTAGGTTAGGAGCTAGATGGCCCTCATGTATCTCACTGCTGTGTTTTTTTCTTTTCTTTTGTAGGTATCTCAAAAAAGCCAGCAGGGTCTGAATCCATTCCTTGCTCAGTCAGCAAAAAATATCCTCATGCGGTTAGGTCCGAAGTCAGAACCCAGGAACCAAACTCCTGATGAAATAAAATAAAAAGGACAGCGGAGCAGGAAAATGACGGCTTGTTTGACGAAATCCTGCAGCTGCAGGAAGTGAACAGTCCTGAGAATCCCTTATTCTGCCCTGCCCGTCTTTCATTGTTCACTATGAAAATAAATTTAAATAAAGAAGCGTTTCATGCATTTTTTTTTAAAAAAAGAGTGTTTAACAAAAGATGATTTGGCCGCTAATGAGGGGAGTGATTTTGCAATGTAGAATTCACATTAATTTTTTTTTTTTTTTTGACAGTAATACAGAGCAATCTGAGATTGGTTGTTTCAGAGATATGTTTTGGCAAATTGAAGCGATGGAATGGAAACACAATACACTACCTCAGTTTCTCTCCCTCAGAAGATTTAAAAAGTTGTTAGGGTTCTTGCAAAAAAAGAATTAAAAGTTTAAGAGATCTATTTTCTTATTTAATAAAGCTCGAGATTTACCAAGCAGGCTTGATGAAAAATAGAGGCGGACTGACATACTAAAGATTCTTAAAGTTTTCATATTCATTTTTGTTTTAAAGGTTTTAAATGCTATTACAATGAATTTAATGTACATTATAGCATAGATTTATGCTATTTTTGTTACTTATTTAATAACCTCTTATTTATTAATAGCATATTGTTCTTTTTTACATATACACACATACATATATAGTACAGTCTTCTATCAATTTAATGCTCCAGGACAAAGAGGAAAAAAAGAACAAAAAAGCATTACAACAAAATTCTCCTTTAACAGTTTTGTTGCAATTTTGTCGTAACTGCAGTTATACGTAGGACGTATTTCGTCATACTGTTTTCTTTTTAACATATTTTACTAAACAGCATTGACATGTTGTTTTCCATCCAAAAATCCTCAGTTACTAGGCAGGTTTTTTCCTTTTTAAATGCTTAAGTTAAAAAAAAGCTGTTTCTTATTGCTCTGCAGTCAAGATCTTAATAATGTACAGTAATCATTCAACATCCCACCTACTCAGCACTTGAGGAACAGAAGGAAATAGAATAGATCAATATGGTTAAGACAATATGAGAAACCAAAGAAGCTGAAGAAGCTTCTTGGATGAGAAGCGAAACGTCTTCAAACAAAAAACAGAAAGACCAGTTGCCTCTTGAAAAAAAGCACCTTTGGAATAAATATGAGAAACTATTTATATTTTTCTTGTTAGGCAATACATGCTCACCCACTATACCAGATTTTAAAAAAATTCATGTATATATAATAAAATACAGCCTCCTACTAAAGAAAATTGTTACATAAATAAGAAGAAAGGCCTCTACAGGAACCGGGAAAAGGGTAGCAAAGATTTCATTACATAAAAAGATGGAAGAGTGATAGCTAAGATTTAAACCTTGAAGGCTCACATATAGACACAACGGATTCCTGTATCCTGTAGTTGCTGATCTTCGGCATACATAACACTTACTTTGTTTTAAAATATTGTATTTCACTGAGCCCTTCAAGGTTCTGCTGGGAGCCAGAGACTGAGATGCTTGCAGTGTCTCTGTGGTCATGTGATTAATATTCAATATTGCCAATACTTGGCAACCAGGATGCATTTACAAACAACAATTATTACAGCAATCCAGGGGTGACTTTGACCTTCCCAGCCAGGTTTCAACAATCAAAGTCAATGGGGAGCAACCAATTTTTTGTTTAATGACCAAATGCTTCACAACTGCAGTGAGTTGCTTAACAACCTTGGCAAAAAAAGATCATAAAATAGGGTGTGACTCACTTAACAACCACCTCAACTTAGCAATGAAAATGCTAGTCCCGATTGTGATTGTAAGGCGAGGACTATCTGTACTTATTGTTTAAGTACAGACCTGCATCTGCCATTTCCTCCCTCCCTAGAATTAACCTTTTTATTCAATCACTCAATCAGAATAGAGCTGGAAGGGACCTTGGAGGTCTTCTAGTCCAGCCCCCTCCTCAAGCAGGAGACCCTATATCATTTCAGACAAGTGACTGTCCAGTCTCTTCTTAAAAACCTCCAGCGATGAAGCACCCACAACTTCTGAAGCCAAGCTGTTCCACAGGTTAATTTTCCTCACTGTTAGGAAGTTTCTCCTCAGTTTTAGATTGCTTCTCTCCTTGATCAGTTTCCATCCATTGTTTCTTGTCCTGCCTACAAGTGTATTGGTAAATAAGTTGGCCCCGTCCTCTTTGCAGCAACCACTCAAATACTGGAATACTGCTATCATGTCACCCCTAGGCCTTCTTTTCTCTAGACTGGCTCTACCCAGTTCCTGCAACCATTCTTCATATGTTTTAGTCTCCAGGCCTTTAATCATCTTAGTTGCTCTTCTTTGAACTTTTTCCAGAGTCTCAACATCTTTTTTTGTAATGTGGTGACCAAAACTAGATGCAGTGTTCTAGGTGCGGCCTTACTAAGTCTTTATAAAACAGTATTCATACTTCACATGATTTTGATTCAATGTTCCTGTTTATACAACCAAGGTTTGTATTCCTCCAGCATGCAGGCTTTAATCTATTTTTGAGCACCTTGAAAACAAAATGGCCTTCCTTGCTTCCTGACCATCATTAAGTTGAAGTTCACTAAGTAGAATGGATGATGTGACCCCAATACTTTTCTCTTTTTTTCTTTTTATAACTCTAAGCCTTCTCTACTTTCAGCCAATAAAGTGATTATGTCTGCACATTTCAGACTGGAAGCATTACCACCTCAATAAGATTTCAGCGGTCATCTCTTTCAATCCTTCCCTAATAGATTCACTGCAGAGTTAAACAGGGACAGTGTCAAAACTATGCAGATTACTGTTGGCTTTCCTTTCTTATTGTGAATCACTCTGCTTCTCCAGAGCTTCTCGTCCTATATGTTATGGTTTCTATGCTAAGAGTACAAATATCAAACAACACTAGAATAATTAGCGAGAAACTTATGATCAGATGCAATCTTACATTAAGGCATTATGTTTCCTCAATTATGATTCGTAAAAGATCTGGATGTTCTAGTACATCGCAAGTTGAACATGCACCAACAGTGTCGTGCAGTTCCAAAAAGGTAAATGCTATTTGGGGATGTATTAACAAGAACAGAAGTGCAATTCACAGAAATAAATAGGCTCTGCATTGAAGACTGTGTGACAAAGCAGTTTTCAGATATTTGGAGTTGTTATGTAAAGTAGGGATTAAATTTGCTTTTTTTCTGGCCACAGAGGGCAGGAGTAGAATATGGCTTGGAACTGCAGGGAAGCAGATTCAGATTGGATATGAGGAAGAATTTCTTGACAATAAACCTATATCAATAGAATAGAATACAGTAGGTTGCCCCCTGAATTGGTATAGTTACATTCACTGGATGATTTTAAACATCTGTTCAAAATGTTTTAGCAGATCTTTCCCTGAATGATATTTGGAACAGATGACCTCCAAGGTCCTTTCAATTTGTGATGCTTTGTGATGATTTTACTCCCATTCACCCATGCTCCATAATTTCCCTTGGGTTAAGCATTCTTCATTAGTATGTAACCAAGGTTAACTGGGAATTCCATATTAAAATCTATGCTAACTGGAAATGGCTATCTATCCGGGTTTAGAGAATACTTTTAGCTTGAGAGGAGCCTCAGATCACTGTTAAAATTTTGTGTGATTCTGAAAGAGATTGGAGAAGACACTTAGTTGCCTTAATTTGCCCCATGTAGTATATATGCTTTCTGGCAGAGAAAAGTAAGAGTAGATGAGGGGTGCCAAAATTACAACTCACTGAACCCTTCATGAAATTTCAGATTGTTCATCATCCCAACATTATATGAAAATAATATAAATACTTTCACTTAACTTAAATTAAAATAATTTAATTTAATTTAAATTTAATATACATTAAATTAAAATAATTTAATAAATACATTAACTAAATGTACTACGAAAACAATTACTATTGTTAATAATAATGGTTAGCCTCATCAACCCTTGCAGATGGGGGGGGGGGAAAGAAATCGAGAAATATGGCATAAATACATACACTAACTACATTATCTGGAGAGAAAATCTCTAGACAGAGAAAGCCAGAGCATTAATAACACATAATTTCCCCCCCAATTTTAAACTAAAATTGAATTCCAGGAAGGAGCAAAATTAAAACCTTATATATGAGATCAAGATTTGTTGTACTTGAAGAACTGGTTTCATTCTTTCTTTTTGCACCTTTGGCTTTTTCTTTGTTTTCTTTATATTAGTTGTTAGTTTTTATTCTCCTTATTTTTAAAAAAATAACTACACCCACCCACCCCCACACGATATATTATTATAGCATTATATTATATATTATTATATTATATTATATATTATTATACCAGCACTAATCTGCAATATATTATTATAGCATTATATTATATATTATTATATTATATTATATATTATTATACCAGCACTAATTTGCCAATGAATACTTCAGCTTCAACCATAACAACACAAGAGCACACAATAGATACAAACTCAAGGTAAACCGCACCAAACTTGATTGCAGGAAATACGACTTCAGCAACAGAGTGGTCAATGTCTGGAATTCTCTACCTGGCTCTGTGGCTTCTTCCCCAAACCCCAAAAACTTTAACCTTAGACTGTCTACTCTTGACCTCACCCCTTTCCTAAGAGGTCTGTAGGGGGCATGCATAAGCGCACCAACGTGCCTACCGTCCCTGTCCTATTGTTTCTTTTATTTTTCTTATATGTACCCATTTCATGTATTCATAACTATGTATATACTTATACCTATTATGTTGTAAGCAATTGACAAATCAAAATAAATAAATAAATAAACAAATAATCTGGGCGGCTACAGTAATCAAAGCGTGGCATCTTCAGATCTGAACCGTTAGGGATAAAACTACATTTCCCACAATGCTTTTCTCCACCCGACGCGTCTGCTTTGCTCCCTGCGCCTTTCGACAAAGCTATTTCTGCCGCACGAAGTGGATCTCTCCAGGCTGACCGGCTCCCCATTTCTTCAAAGAGATGCTGTGACGCATAATTGGTGGTAGGTGAAAGGGTTGCGGAAAGGAAAAGCAAGCAAGCAAAGCCATCATTTTGGGGCTGGGGCTGGGGCAAGCATGGGAGCCTGGCAGATGAAAGCAGAAAGCTGGGAAGATGAATCTCTAAGGCTGGAAGGAACAACAGGAGGTTTAACCCAAACAGCATCTAGAGAGCAGATTCCCCCCCAAATAAATACACAGAGATGTCCCGATAGTCCAGATCTTGGGAGGCTATTCCCGATTTCTTTTTCCCTTTCCAATTTAGCCTGTCGCCATGCGGCTAGCAGAGTAGCATCGCTCCTGCGCCGTGGGGATTTGGCAGAGGGCATGTTGGCTTCCAAGAACAAAACATGACAAAAAGGTAAGCCAGAGATACCCTGCTTTCCAATGGCCAGCCTCAATCGGTTGGCCAAAGTCTCCTCAGGGCACCTTCCGAATGGCGCGACCCTTTAAATACAGTTCCCCATGTTGTGGTGACCCCCCAACTATAAAAGTTTGTTCGGCTTCATAGATTCGGCTGATAGAACTTCACAACAAATAACACATTGCGGTTTTTTCAATTCCTGCTGTAATTATTGAGGTAAAACCATACTGTAAAAAATCCTCCCTATATTTTCTTTTCTTCACGTTCTTCTGTACACGATCCATTGCCATGTGGGGAATGGTTTGCTAATGTAAATAATATATAACAATAGCTTTAATAATACAAAAGATGATACATGGCATAGTTCAGTCAATACAGTTCGTTAAAGTTTCCTATGATTTACCATTCTCTGTGTTGTTTTTTTACATACCTGTTATTATCACAAGGGAGCAGCATTCACATCAACCACAGCTGAATATAAAAAGGCAGATCAGCATCCAGATTAAGTTCCCATGGTACAGATTTTTTTTTTGCAGTAGTTGATGATTTTACAGTACATGATTTTACATTTACCCAGTAATTATAATTCATGAAGTGTCGTTTTACCTCCAATACTGCTGCTTTCAACACAGTAACTGCTTTTAACAGCGTAGCTGCTTTCAATACAGCAGCTGCTTTCTACCACAGTAGCTGCTCTCTACATGTGTGTGACTGGTCCGCATAAGTACATTATGACGCCAATCCTGTCACATACACCTGTATTTGTATGGGGTCTATGTGATGGGGTTGGCGCGATGATGTCATCAGGCCGGGTACTCGTATGTGGGCGTATCTGCATGTGGGCGGACCCACCTGGAGACGGATAGAGGAGCGGTGTCTCGGTTCCTAAGACCATCAAAAATATGTGTTTTCCGATGGTCTTAGGCGACCCCTGTGAAAGGGTCGTTCGACCCCTCAAAGGGGTTGCGACCCACAGGTTAAGAACCTCTGCCTTAGGGGAAAAGGTTTGGGAATAGTGGGGGTTGCAGAAGAGCTATGAAAAAGAAAGAAAAAGAAAAGGCTATGCTAGGAGCTGGATGGCCCTGATGTATCTCATTGACGTCTTTTCTTGTAGGCATCCCCCAAAAGCCAGAAGGGTCTCCATCCGTTCCTTACTCAGCCAGTGAAAAATATCCTCATGCGGCTGCTTCCAAAGATGGGACTCAGGAACCAAAGTCTTCATGAAATAAAATAAAAAGGACAGCAAAGGGGAAAATGACGGTTTGTTTGACAAAATCCTGCAGATGCAGGGAGAGAACAGACCTGAGGAATCTCTTATTCTGTCCTCCTCTCGTTGTTCCATTATGACAAATAAACTTAAATAAAGAAGTGTTTCACGCATTTTAAAAGAAAGAGTGAGTGTTTAACAAAAGGTGATTGGGCTGCTGATGAGGGGGGGGTGATCTTGCAATACAGAATTCACATTGATTCCCTTTTGACAGTAATACCGAGCAATCTGAGATTGGGAGGTACAGAGATTTCATTTGGCAAATTGTGGTAATGGAATGGAATATAGTATTGTACATTTTCTCTCCCTCAGAAGATAAAGTTCTGTCTTGCATAAAAGTATCACAGGTTTAAGGGATCTACTTTGTTATTTAATAGAACTTGAGCAGGTTTGATGAAAAACACTGGCAGACTGACATTACTAGAATTTGTTAACACTTTCATATTCAGATTTGTTTTAAGTGCTGCTTGATATTGTTACAGTGAATCTTCGTGAAGCATACATTCATTTTTTGTTACTTGTGTTATTTAATAATCTGTTATTAATAGCATATTGTTATTTTTACATATTCACACATACCTATGAACATACATTCCTCTATTTAGTGCAACAAGGGTTTGTTGCCTTTTTGTCATAACTTTTTACTGTTGTTTTTAAAATATTTTCCAGAGCTTTAGTGTTTTAATTATGCTTTTTCTCATTGTTGTGGGAAGCGCTTAGTAATATATAGTAATCAGCACCTGATAAAAGGAATATATAAATATGGCTGCAACAAACTGAGAAACTATCTTTCCTGTTAGGTGATACATGCTCACCCGCTATACAACATTTTTTTTTTTTAAAAATCATGTACCTAGAATAAAATAGTCCCCAACCAAAGAAGCTTGTTACATAAATACAGGACAAATACTGTACAGTATTGCAGCTAGGAAAAGGGTAGCAAAAAAAGATGGAAGGAAAATACCTAACACCTATTGAGACAGATGGATTCCTGTATTCTGCAGGTGCTGATTTTCTGCATACATAACGTTTCTAATTTGCTTTGACCAATTTTAAAAACACAGGTTTATCTAATTGTGCTAAACCCATGAAGGTTCTGCTATTAGCCAGACACTGAATGCTAAGAGTATTACAAAAACAATCAAAGTCTGATAATTTTAGAACTGAGCAAAAATCTTTTTTAGACTTTTTAAAGAGTACAATGCCTTGGAAGGAATCTGTGATTTGAAGTGACCCGCAAACCAGCCATATCATGGTTTTTTCAGATTTATGAGGAAATGTGAAAGAATCTCCTTGGATGAACTATTTTAAGGAACAGCAACATTAAATTGACTGGAATCTTAAAGGCTGCACATTTATGTTGCATTTTTGAATGCTTGTGCATGTGATGGCAGATAGATTCATTTTATGCCTTCCATTATTTTATGTAACCCAAGGTGGAGTGAGGGGATAAAAAAGATCAAAAAGCGAAACTTCTTTCTCAGGGGGAAAAAAAAGGTCTAGTTGCCTTTTGAAAAAGCACCTTTGAGGCAACTATGACCTGGATGATTGAGAATATCCACAAAGGTTTTACCCATCCTTTAATAGATCAAAGTCTAATTATCCATACAATTAGATTTTGCAACAGTACAAAAGTAGGGAAGGGGGAACTGGTAGGTGTATAACATTTACATTTTTATTCCTAGAAAGCTCATTTGCTGTGAAACACAGGTTTGGTTACAGTACTAAATGGATTGAAATTTAAAAATAATGCCAATTAATTCAATTTTATGATAAGAATACTAAAACTACTAAAGCTCAGAATAACCACTAGCAGAACGTATACTTTTTGAACGGCTCGATTTTTTAAAAGATAGTCTTTTTAAGATGACCTACTCGACCCCACAGGAAAAAAAAAAGTGAAAACAAAAAACTACAATTCCCAGAAGCACAGCGAACGAAGCTACATACGCATGCGCCGTTTATCTGCGTTTAAAACGCTTTTTGTACGCATGCGTGCGTCACGTTTAAATACTCCAACGCACGTGGCCAGGATAGGGCTTACCTGGTTTCCCCACAGAATTCGTTGGCGCACAGCGAAGGAAGACCCGTCCGTCGTGCTAGAATTCAACGTATGACGAGAAGCGCCTAACCCCCGGTCAGGCCTACGCATGCGCGTTCAACGTTTGACAACCCCTTATATTAAACTGCCTTCCTCGAGGCTCTCGTTTGCCGCATGACTGGACCTACGCATGCGCGTTTTTTTCCCGATGCGCTTCCGCTATACCCTTACGGTTCCCGTTGGTGGATATGCCGGTCGGGTCCCGCCTCGTCTCTCTCATGGTTGGGCAGAAGAGGAAAGAAGAGGAATCCCATTGGGCGACGGTTGTTGCTATGGCAATAATCGACTGGGTGGAAGTAGGTGCTGGTAATAGTATATATAGGAAAGGCGGAAGGAAGATGGCGGCGGTGGTTTCGGAGTTGCTGCTTTTGAGCGATTCAAGCCGCTTCCGAGCAGACAACCTGCTGAGCAGCGAGGACTGGGGTGAATGGGAGAAGGAGGGGGCAGTACTGGGCCGAAGGAGGGGGCAGGGCCTATAGGCCTGGGCTATGCACGGGTTTCAAGGCTTGGGTTGCAGAGGGGCCCTGCTAATACATAAGAACACTCTGTTGAAAACTGTGGCTTTTGACAGGTGATATCAGGCCCGTGTGCAATGGAGTATATAACTTTCCCGCCAAGGAAAAGCTTCACCTGTTGCATTTCTGCCTGTCAGGCTCTGAATTGAAGTCTTGACAGGCAGAACGATAACGGTCTTGGTCGTTAAAGGTTGTAGCATAAGGAATTGACTATTTAGCAGGAAGGGCTTCCAAATGCGCTTTTCCATTCATCCTTAAGGAGTTTTGTGGTATTTTTTTTAATACCAGAGATCTGATTTTTTTTTATTAATATCAAATCTGATATGGAATAAGGAGGTGGTTTTTTCACGTTTTCAGTTCATAGCGTGCATTGCTTAAATGTTAGGGGAAACTTTATACACTGCAAAATAAATAGATATTCACACGATGTTAAATTAACCTGGCACCAAATGTCTTATGTGGCATGATTACTTTATGCGGCAACATATTCTTTGTAACTGGCTTTATGTAAGTGGTATTTCCAGTTTTGTTCCGGCTTGGGTGGCAGCTTAACTTAAGTACCAGGAAATAAAGTTAGAGGAAGTGTGTACAACTGTTACTGATTTGATGTTATACTGATTTTTATCCGCTGTTGGATCCTTCCCAAGCACCTGCTATAGAATATAGAACATAGAATTCTTTATTGGCCAAGTGTAATTGGACACACAAGGAATTTGTCTTGGTGCAAATGCTCTCAGTACATAAAAGAAAAGATAAGCAGATGTTTGATTATTGTTATTTAGAGATAACCCATGGTTGAGTCAGCTAATTCCTCATTCAGTTACATTTTGCTGCTCTCCCTCCAGATGCAGGTCTTTACAGCTGCTTGGATAATGATGGAGATGTGGCAGCTGAACTTTTCCCTTGTCTTGAACACAGCATTATGGACAGTAATGGTATCCCTTCTGCGGTGAGAATACCTTTGCTTTCAGAAGAATATTTTTTGCTTTCCGGTATGCCTCTGTGGCAGGACACACTTCTCAGCAATTTGAAGCCTTTCTTGCTCTTCCTCTCTCTATAACTTTATAAAAAAATGAATTCAATAGGCTTTAGCATCTTGATGACTCCCATCCCTGCCTCTTGGGCTTTTTTGTTTGTTCTAATGTGGCTTATACATTAAAAATGTGTGAATTAAAATGGGGCCTGGAAGATGTGTGGTGATGATTATATTCCCAACTTATAATGGCTGGCATGCCATGTGTACAATTTTGGATTGCATTTCCCAGAATGTTATCTCTAGCCCTGAAAGTCTTATTGAACTGGAACTCCAAACTACAGTAGTCCTCAACGTATGACCACAATTGAGCCCAAAATTTATGATGCTAAGCGAGACATTTGTTAAGTGAATTTTACACCATTTTACAACCTTGCTGCAGTTGTTATCATTGCAGTTGTTAAGTTAGTAACAAGGCTGTTAAGTGAATCTGGTTTGCCCATTAACTTTGCTTGTCAGAAGGTCGCAAATGGTGATCACATGATTCTGGGACACTGCAACCATCATAAATATGAGTCAGTTGCCAACTGTCTGAATTTTGATTTATGTGACCATGGGAATGCTGCAATGATCATAAGTGTGAAAATAGTCTTAAGTCCCTTTTTTCAGTGACATCCTAACTGAACAGTCAGTAAATGAACTATTGTAAATCAAGGACTTGTATACCTCCTCAGTTACACATCCACTCACTGCCATCACACTCTGTTCCTCAGATAGAAGGAGAGTCAGACTTTTTGTTTCTCGTAGATGAAAAGCTTTATTTTCTATATCTTTCTATTCTAGCAGTTCGGTGATGGGTTTGATCTGGACATGGAAACTATGCCTCCAGACCCACCTTGGGATCCTTTGCAAGAATCTCTATTCCCAGGTGAGTATTTTCATGAAGCTGCAGGGTAGGCAGGTTATCAAGAATCTGTTGTAGAACTGAGGATACTGTGTGGGATTTGGTGAATCTGATTAAGTGGCCCGTGATTTAGAAACATTTTTATAAGGCCATTAATTTTTAAGCTGTTGGAAGATTTTGAAGATTGTGTTTTCTGCAAAAAAAATTAAGACAGTATCATTCTGGCAATGATAAGAGGAACAGGATATTCATAAGTAAGAGATTTACATTAGGCTATCCTACCATCTCAGCTTAATACAAATGTATGTATAACCTGCCTACTCATTGCTATTTGGCAAACAGGATCAGAGACAAGTATTTCACATGTTAGAGATCCTAGATTTTATCTCTAGTACCTCCTGTTTAAAAATACACCTTTAGGAAGTCTTTAGTGAGTCACTGACAGCAGGAGGAGAGAGTGATGGACAAGGTATCTATATTTAGTAGCAAAATTCTTTTGAGTGGGAGAAAAAAGAATGTTGTCTTTGTGGCCTGCTGCCTTCCCAGAAGCACCTAGCTGATCATTGCCCACATGAGCCTTTGATCTGATCCAGCAAATAGCTTTTATTTCTGCTTCCTAGAATTGTTTTGGGTTGTGCAGAAATTTGTCTGGGAGTAGTTTTGTGCAGTCAGAGTTTAATGAGCAAAGTTTGTTTCTGTCCTGCATGAAAAAACTGGAGCAAGTTTTTCTAACTGATTGATAATTAAATTCCCTCTTGAAGGCAGAGCAGAGGAGATAAGAGGGTTGCTTCCTCTTTCCTGTCTTCTCCCCACCTCCCCGTTTCTGACTTCTTTTTTGATTGAGGCTGAAAGTTGCATGTGACTTGACAGTTTATCCAGTTGTCCGGGTATTATCTTGGCAGCGATATATTGCTTAAAAAGTAGATATGCTGCAGAACTAGTTAAAAGTCGATGAACTGCAAGCCACTTTCCCCCTAATTAGAATTCTGTACCTATCCAAATTTAATTATTAGTGCAAATCTACAGAGGCATGTTCCTAACTGTTCTTTAAGTGGCATAGTTAAGCTGCAAAATCAGATATTTAGGAGTGATAGGAACTGTTCTGAAAAAGGATTAATTGGGCAAAGTCTATTGAAGACAGTAGTTGTGGTAGGTAGCAGCACATAGTTGTAGTATTAGCAATCGGCAGAGTGGTTAATTTCTGATCACAAAGTTACTTGTTAGTTTCTTCCATACCTTGATTTTTGAATCAAGACAGAAGAAATGTGAATCTGTGGATAATCAGATTCTTTTATAATTCATAGAAGGGGGAAATGACCATGGCATTCAGTTCTTGGGTGAAACAAAGCAAGAAGTCTGACAGTTTTTCTTATTTGGGTTTGCTGTTGTAGAGTTTTACTTCTCCTTTAGGTGTTATAAGCAGGAAGCATAGCTGCCTCATCATGCCTTCAGAGGGTTATAGAGCCTTTCAGGTGACAAGAATGAGAGATCTGCTTCATCTGCTGGCCCTGATGGAGGAAATTGGTGGCATGGTAGTTGAAGCTGAATGGGATTAGATGGCTTCCTTGGGATTCAGCACTTAGGGCTGGCCTTAGAAATTGCAGGTGGGGAGGACGGCTTCTATCTTATGATTTATATTGTTTTGTTTGGTATCCTACCGTGTTTCTCCAACAATACGGGCTCCCCCAATAGGAAGTCCCAGCATGTTTTATAGACATAAAATCAAATTAAGCCCCTCCCCCCCAAATTAAGGCCTATGTTAAACATGTGAAATGGGGGGGAATGGCGGGGTGGGGCTTGCCGTTAGGAAGTACTTTTGTTGCATACCCGGATATGGTGCTGCCTGTGTTGACTTCGGCGTTGGTGGGGCACTTCGTATCGGGAGACCTTCCGCCACCGTTGCTTTCCCTTCTCCCCGTGCTGCTGGGGTTTGGCACAGCCATGCATGGCCAGCCAGGGCTCCTCCCTGCAACTGGAGCCCGGCGGAGACACTTGGCTTCAGGCACTCCTGTCGCCGCCTTCCCTTCGCCTTCGAAGGCAAAGCCAATTCTTTTAAAAACGACATCCTACTACTGGTACGACAAAGCCTCCCCTGCCCGAGAGGGCAGGCCAACCCCACGTGGGGAGGCGAATTTCCCGGGGCCACAGCGCAGGATCGGCCCACCCCGGGAGAAGCGCCCAGCCACCTTCCCTGCCTGGCGCCAGGCAGAGCATGAATTGCTTCGCCTGGGGCGCCCAGCACAGCTGACAGGCGGGTCCTCCTGCCCGGCGGTGGAGCTCTCGCCAAGGCAGTGAGCGCCTCCCGGCCGGGCCCTCTACTCATCCTGCCAGGGCCGCGCCAGAGCTGTGCGGGCTGGGCAGAGCCAGGAAAGTGAGCCGCGGGTGCGGCCCAGCCTGCCAAATGAAAGAGCCGGGCCGACCTGAGCTTGGCTTCCTTCCCAAGTCCCTCCAGCCCGAACCCGAAGGGGCCACCAGGAGAGGCTGCCCAAGGCAATGATAGCACCCACCTGTCCGTGGACAGGGAGGCGAGGCGACGGCAGCGCTGCTTCCCTGGGCGGTGGGTCCGGCAGAGAGAGCCTGAAGCCGCCCGTCCTTTAAACCCCTCGCCCAGCCCATCCCCGTCCCCACGCATCTCCAAACGTGCCGGCAGCTCCAAACGCTGCAGTGGCACAGGCATCGGGCAGAGGCGCTCACTCGGCGGGGCTCAGCTCGGAAGAGGACGCGGCGCAGGCCGTCGCCTTGCCTCCCTGACCACGGATGGGTAGGCGCTATCACTGATGACAACTAGTTGCAGGGAGGAGCCCTGGCTGGCTGCGCCAAATGCCGCGGCGTTGCTCTAAACACCGCGGCAGCACGGGGAGAAGGGAAAGCAACGGCGGAAGGTCTCCCAATATGAAGTGCCCCACCAATGCCGAGGTCAACATCCAAGCTGTCGCCGCCCACCCTCCCGAGGATGCAAAGGGGGGGGGGAATTAAGTCACCCCTGAAAAGACGGCTTAGCCGTTTTTTCGGGGGTCAAAAACAAATAAGGCCCGGCCTTATTTTCTGAGAAACACGGTAGTATGATTTATGTTGATGATTTATGATGAATGTATTTTTATGATGGCTATGATCATGATTTATCAGATTGCTTTTATATGCCCTGAGAGCCTGTGCACTGGAGACAAATTCCTTCTGTGTCCAATCACACTTGGCCAATAAAGAATTCTATTCCTGTTCCGTTCCATTCCCTATTCTTTCCATTCTATATTCTATTTTATTCTATATTCTATATTCTATATTCTATATTCTATATTCTATTCTACTCTACTCTACTCTACTCTACTCTACTCTACTCTACTCTACTCTACTCTACTCTATTGTGAGATTCAAAGAGGGAGTACTTAACAATCAGTTTCCTTTTGTCTTGGATCAGCAGGCTGGTGGTGAAAGTGTCTCAAGTCATTCTCATTTTTTCAGAGTTGCAAGTCAAGTCTGAGCCCGTCTCCCCTGCCTCATCTCATTGCTCCGATTCATCTGTGGCCTCCTCCGATTCTTCTGCGGCAGGCTCCTCTTCGGCCGAACTCTCAGAGCAGGTAGGTCTTCTCAGAGACCTCTTTGTAGACAACCCCAGTGCCCAAATGATAACACCCATAAAGGTAGCTGACGATGAACGACCACAACTGGGGCCAGAATTTCCATGGCTAAGCAAGACGGTTAAGCGAGCCGAACTGATTTTATGACCTTTTTTTTTTTTTGGCCATATTGTTCAAGCAAATCACTGCAGTGAAATGAATCCTGCGGTCCTTAAGTGAATCTAACTTTCCCCATTGACTTTGCTTGCCGGAAGCTGGTTGGGAAGATTTCAATCTGGGCACACGTGACCCGGGGATGCTGCAACTATTGCAAATACTGTACATGCCAGTTGCCAAGAACCCAAATGACACTGTTTTCATACACTGTAGCCACTGAAAATGGTTGCTAAACGAGCAGTTGTAAACTCCATGTACCCCCAGTTGTTTATTTTACAAGGCCCCATGATAGCGAAGAAAGTCCCCCCTTACTCCATATAACCAGTTTGTCAGATCCATGTATCTGCCATTCTTCAATGGAAGAAGAAGGGTGGTGGTGTTTGATACAAGTAATCCTTTTTGGTGTAATCTGAATATCTTAATTCTTGTATTGAATCTGTATAACCTGCACACGATTTTACAACTGGGGGACTGGAGCCCAGATGCCTGGAAGCTTGTCACCTCTTGGAGAGATAGCAAAAGGAGAAGGGGCCATAAAAATTTCAGCTCAGAAAGAAACTTCCTGGGAATCTCTTCTCAACTACCTTCCTAGAAAAGGGGTCAGGGGGTGGGAATAACATGTTGCTTCTTTGTATTGATGAAATCCACACGGGACTAAGAGGAGGGGTTCTAACTCCCTTTATCTAAGCCGCATGCCTGGAGGCATATTAGACCCGGCTATGAATACCACCTGGATATCTTCCTTTTTGAATAAAGAATTCCTTTTGAAATACCCAGTTTTCAAAAGTTCATTCTTATTGTCTGAACAGGAGAGAGTCTGGGCTTACACAGTTGGAGATACTAGTTGTCATCAAAAATTGCCAGAAATAGTAAATAAAAACAATCCCGTAAAACATATAAATGCCCTACTTTAAAAAGGGAAGGTTTTGTTTTTTTTTAAACAGATGCTTGAGAGGCATCAGAATGGAGAAAACTTAATGCTTCTGTTGAGACATTCATTTTTCTTTCAGGTCACTGGACCAGATGATGTGATTGGAGTAAAAACAGAGCATCCTCCAACCCCTCCGTGCATGTTTGGAGATGTCCTTTTACCTCCCTTTGGAACTGTACACATAAACGTGGTCCCGGCTTCCGAGACAGGTATGCTGGGGAGAATTGTGTAGCAGCAAGCATTTATTTCTTGCTTCTGCGCTGAATTTAGTAACCATAGATAGACTTCAAAGCTTGCATTGGTGCTCATAATCAATGAAGAAGACACAAATTCTGGTGCTGTAGTGTCCTGTGCATAAAAAAAAAAAATCTTCCTGAATGTTGGCAATAATGGTAAAGGTAAATAATGTATAATGAACTAACCTGTTTGTTAGTGACAATATGCCATTTTCTTTTTGTCTGTTCTGTTCAGATATTATTTATCCTCCCCTTCTCTTTAGCTTTCCTGTCTGGGTGGGGATGAGACCTTTGAGGAGATGTTTCTCTTGATGGATACTTTGTGTGATCTCCATTATGTGAATTGCCCATGTCCCTGACTTCCACTTGAACAGTTTAGAAAGAGTTTAGGTAATTGCTTTTCCAAGAGAAACTGCCAGAAAATATTCCAGATCTGTAAAGCCCATTAGGAAAAAAAATGGGGAAAGATGTCCAAGAAAATGTCAAAGGAAAATCCTTTCCATTTTATTCCAAAAAATTGAGTTCAAGATTCCCCCCCCCCAAAGCTTCTCTTAGTTTATTTTTAGAAAGGAAGTGACATGCAAACAAGCACAAATATTAAAGTATTTGCTTTAAATAGAAAGAAACATCATGTTTTGTTCTTTTACTTGATGTCTGAGCCTTGATGTCCCCTACAGATTTTTCACATTCTCCGCGTTGCCCTTCCAGTTCTTGGCCTTGAATTTAGTTTTCTGAGCAAAACCAACATTTTGTATTTGCACATCAGCTTTTATAATTAAAATCGTAACAGTTAGCCCCTCACCCACACTAGTTGGAATGTTAGTGAATGTTCATGA